GTTTTCCAATTTTTAAATGCCCTGATCCCATAATGAAACACCTAACATCATTATGCATCAAGTGCATAAAAATACTAATAGCATAGATAAAAGCTACATCGAGTTTATATCCAGGCTGCAGGAGGAGTTGGAAGGATATTAGGAATAGAATGCTTTATGCATTTCCCAGCTGTCCTCTACTACTTCTAAACCCTGCTTGAGTATATGGGACAAAACTTTTCAAGACTCCAGTCCTCATACGGTTGAAGAATTTGTTTAGTTCATTGGTATCTTCACAAAATGCATCATCTACAGACAGGGGGAAAAACTTGGAATTAAGTCCTTGAAAGTTGTTAAATCTGAGCAAGTAACTGTGTCTAACACTACACGCAGGTTTTGAAACCATTTGTATCACGTGACTGGATTAATCATTTAGGTCACTTTGCTTAAAAGGATGCCACGTGAATCTTTGCGTGAAGCTACTGATTCATCATTACTTTTGTGATTAGATAATAAGGCACCTCTTCTATTGACTGCACAGAGTAGTGTCTACAGACTGTAGATAACAGAAGTTCAGTTCATTGAAAGCTCATGCTCTGCAAACTTGGTAAAAAGAACATAGATAAAGACCACCTTGTCTTTTGTAAAAGCCTGGGGGAAAAAGTCCTAACATTTACCAAATACGATCAGAATTCAAATTAGGGATGGTTTCACATGCCTCTTAAGAATTTTAACCTGCAATGTAAACAGGCACCTGAAATATAACAAAAAATACAGAAATAATAGAGCAAGATGGGTGGCATATAGCTTAAGAGACTAAGTTTTACAGATAACTACACATCTTTTGACTATTCACTTTTGGTCCACAGCGTAATCTCCTGTGATCAATGCCTGCATTCCAGTTGGTATTTTAAGACTCAAGTCAGTCCTTATCAACTGCTTCAAATCTACAAGCTTTCTTTAGGAAAATCACTGAAAGCTAACTTTTTATAAAGTACTTCAGTGCAACTCAATTAGGGTTTTACCACCAGACTCAAAGAGAGAAGCCACTTCTTTTCACAATGCAAATCATTATGATTTGCTGGTTAGCACAGTGAATCATCTTCCCTATTTATGAAAGCATCCAGTTGTCTTTTAAGACTATCCAAGCATAGAACTAATTGCAGCTAACATTTGTAAACAAGGAGCATTCCTATTCTACAGATTCTACCTGTTACAATACTGCTATTAAAAGAAAAAAAAAAATCTCAATTTTTAGCAGTTTTAAGAAACGTTTAAGGACGAACAAGTATTCTACTAACTAAACTAAACATTCCTCATCATTCCTTTTTAATGACATAAAGCAGACCTCTGACCCAACAGAAAACAGATACAGAGAACTTGCTAGTATAACAGAATTATCCAAAGCCACAACCAGAATCAAACACTGAAAGAAGAAAACACCATCTCTGAAGATCATGTGGAAGCCCACTAACTTTACTGCGTGGCAAAAATGCAAAGCCAGGAAGTCAGCTTGACTTCTTCTGGTAAATAATAATGAGTTTATACTCTATGCTGTTTCCGTCTTGTGGTCCCAGCTGTGTAGGGAAAGTGACCGAGAAAGGGACTGTTTTTGATCTACTAAGATCCTGATTTTTGCAAGTGTTTACATAGAGCTGGAACTAGGCAAACAAGACAAAAAAAAGCAAACAAAAAAACAAAAACAAAAAACAAAGAAAACAAAAAAACCCCACACTTTTCTCCAGCTCTTGGGATTCTTACTCCAGCCCTACAGATACCAGCCTCAACACTTAAGTCCATAAAGATTACAAACAAAGGAAAGAATAAAGTATTTCATCCATTTCCCTAATAATCCTTTTTAGAGTCCTGGAATATATAATTCCCAGCCTAACACAACTGCAAATGTCTTTTCCATCACACCATTTTCATGGGCATGTGTAGTGACATCTTGCTAATATACCCTTGTCAATATACTTATTGTAATCATTATGGATTATTCTGATGCAAACGGTTCTCTAATATGGAACTATCATTGTTGGTACCAAAACTGTGCCTAACCCACTCATTTACGAACTAAGATTTGACGCACCAATAAATCTGGTCATTTACAGGAAGAATGGATAGAAGGACGGTACTACAATTATTGACCCAATAAACTGGGCTGACTAGAAAGAAATAAACCAGCTCTCTTGGCTACCTAGATTGCTTCTAAAAGCAGGTGAAAAGGGAAGGCTCACAGTGGTAAACTGATTTTTACAAGGTATCAAAAAGACAGATGGCAGGAACTTTCACAGATTTAGCTAAATACAAATGGAAAGTGCTTTTTCATAGGACAATAATTTTTCCCCTCCACATCAGTGCATTTCACCTTAGACATGGAAGATTAGTAAGGAATTTTCACTCTAAGATTTAATATCAAATTGTTGTCTTATAAGAATACCAGAACTGTAATTCATGCAATAACTCAAGACTACAACTTGGTGACACGTTCCCAGTGCATGAGAACTCAAGGAGCAGCCTCACTCTTCCTTGCCCGCTGCCCTCAGTTTTCCCTCAGTTTTTCCTCAGATCTCCAGGAAAAACGTGTTTTCTAAGTTGCACACGGTTGGATTAGACAGCCTCCACTTCCAACATAATACCAAAGAGACAATCAAATCACCTTACCCTGTAAAACATAGATGTTATCCTTATACTCCACAGCACTGTGAAACTCCATTGCTACTGGCATTGGACACACAGCTGTCCAACAGTTCTCTCGGCTGTCATAACATTCCACAGACTTCAGCGAGTTTCGCCCATCTCCTTCATAAACACGACCACCTATTGCATACAGTTTACCACAGCAATGAACCAATTTGCAGCCTATTCTGGCTCGCAGCAAAGGAGCTTTTGGAATCCACCTATTGCTAGAGTGATCATACATCCAAAAATCACTCTCTGCTCTGTGGTCAATAGAGACCTCACTGCTGCTTGGCCTGTAACCACCTGCAATGTAAATATCATTATCAGGAGACACAAGAATTCCGACCTCCCTCAAGTCATTCGGTGGCTTGCATAGTTTAAACACTCTCCCTGTGACCGAATCTAAACAAGGCACTGTTTGCTTCTTTCCTGAGTGTTTGTGGGCAGCATCAAAGCATATGATCATCTCAGAAGCAGTCATTCCAAGCCGTTGCGTATAGCCATTGGCACTACGTTGTCCCTTTTGTACACAGCTTTTGGCCATAGCCTGTGCAAACATAGGAGGGATTTTCTCTAAAAATGTCTCCTCCAACAGAGGCATACGGATGCATTTGGCAAATATTTCCGGAAGGTGCACTTCTCTCTTATTTTGTTCGTGCTCAAACCACCTTATAATGCTGTCATAAACATGTTCTTCTTTGTCTACATTTAAATCATCACTGTTGAGTATACTTATGAGTTGGTCTTTTCTCAACTGAAGAAACTCTTGCTCTTTGGTGACACTCAGAAACTTTTTACGAATGTAGTCTTGTGATCTTTCTTTGAGCTCCTGATGACCATAGTGATCAGCAAAGATAAACACCCCAATGGAGTTCTGTGGGTCCAAATGACTGATCATATATTTAGCACACTGATCTTGTATGGAAGGGATCTGGAAGATACTAGCTGCAGTGAACAAAGCTTGAACGTTGGCCTCTGTCAGCATTACTCTGGAGGTATATGCATAGTTCAATACTAAATGCATTGACTCTGCTTCAACACCAACTATACGAACTTCTTTCTGGGTACTCTCCGTAAGGCCGCTAGTGAACATAGATCTGCAAAAGAAAAAAAATATTTAGCAGTTTATTTTTAATCACCTTCTAACTACAGGTAAAAGAAATCAAACTATATTGTACAGCTAATCCCAACGTGCCTGTCCTTACACCAGCACAAATACAATTATCGCTGACGTTACGCTGTCCTGCCTGGGCACCTAAATGTAAGAGCAGTTCTAGACTTCCTGAAACAAAAATTGTCAAACTGGAATTCTTTACTTAAGCATCTCACTAACTGTACATGAAAAATTACTCAGCTTATAAGCAAAATTCTTAAGTTCTTAACAAGTCTTTAAGTGCAATGTCCAACATGTTATTTCTTATGTATGTATTCTAGCATGCTAGAATACATAACTTTAAAAGGAAACAAATAGTTGAACTGTGCTTTGAACTGTGCTGTTACTGTATGCAAGAGTCCCTCAATACTGGAGGATTTTTTAAGTACATGAGATTTTGTCCAGAGAAATGCTCCTTTGAAAAAAACAGATACTGATAATTCATTGGCATTAAAAGAATAAAAATATTTACTTACTAAGCCCACTATACGGTCATTGACAGTTACAAGGAATATTGTTAAAGATGTGTGTGTGGTTTTTCTTTTTTTCAATATCACATATGGAAAATAATGAGCTATAATTTCACTTTCCACTAGAACACTGGACCATATATTCATTATACCTGAAATAAGGACTGATTGCAGCAAGAACATTCCTATGACAGGAGAATGTTTTCCCATGATCCACTTCCACTACGATATCTGTCAGCTGTCCTTCATCATACATGGTTTTAAGCTGTTGAAGAATACTGCAAGCATGGAAGGGGTCCATTCCGCTGCTGACTGTGTTTGAAGAAGGAATTCCATTCAGTGTTTGTGAAAACTTACTTGGCTCTATAAAGTAAAATAGAAACAGTTTTACTGTATACACACACAGACAGAAAGAGGGCATGCACTAAGAATAATTAGCATAGGCTAATATTCCTGACTTCTTCTGTGCCATCATCCATTAACAGCACGTCTAAAACTTTCAGTGATGACTAAAGACAAAGATATTTCAATTTTTTCCCCTTTTCCAATCTATTATGTAAATTAATCTATGAAATTATAACTATTAATTTTAAGAAAGAACATTTGTAATAAATACAAAATATTTACTTATATCACTTAAAAAAAAAACAAACCACCAAGTATCACAATGCTTATTGCCTTGTAAAATGGGAAGAATAAAGCACGTAGAAGAATAAAATAAACCCTCAACCTAGATTGCCATTAGGCATGTCTGCATGTATGTACTTAACTTTACACTGAAACAGGAACTGGTTACTAACTTGCACAAATGATTGGAAATAGTACAGTCATAAAGAAACAGCCTTTGTATGTAGAGCAGCAAATCTATTAGATAAAGTCACATAAATTTGTATACATGATTACATGTTTTTCTTCACAAATAAAATACTATTACAATTTAAAATTACTCAGGTGTGAAGGAAGTCACATCGCTGTAAAAACAAATTAAGTGAAGCATATGCTTCTAAATAACACATAATATGCTTAATGAAGTAAATCCCAAAGCGAAAATTGAGCAATATCTCAAGCGCAAAAATCTATTTCATAATAGTAACAAGATTTTTGCGCAACAACAACAAAGGAGAGCTCAAAAGAAAAACATTAGTTAGTAAGAGTTGCAAATCAGGTAATGCTGCTGACTGCAACCGAGAACACCTCCAACACATTTAGGGCTACACAAAGGGGAAGAAAGGACAGTGAACAGCAAGAATGATGAACAGAAGGTTTAAATCCTATCCCATGGTGGTATTCAGCAGCTACAATTTCTCTTAATCAGAACGCAGACACAACTTTGAGACAGTCCCAATTAAATCAGTATGGATCTGCCAACGGGCACACACTTCTTATAGCAGGCGTGGGGCCAAATACTGTCAATATCTCTTCAAACTACTGTTAGGAAAAGTCTTGAAAACACCCTTCCCCAAATAAAACAGTAAATGCCATACTTTAAGCTCTCCTTTCAGAGATCTTACTTTTCTTTATTACAATAACAGAGCTGCAACATTCAAAACAAGCAAGTCATAAGGGAAGGGGAGAACTGCACTTGCACATTTTCAGAAACAATGTTAATCACTACTGAGTAAATTCCAAGCAAATAATACTTTGCTAGATCAATTCCAACACTTCATAGCAAAGTTCTGACACATAAGAAAACTCTTATGTATCCAGTACTGCATGAGAGTTTCATTTCCTTTCTACCATTGAGAAGCTTCAGAATAGTTCTTCTCCAACCTTGCCAGTTACTCGTCCAGCACATGCAATCAAGGCAGTTTCCAGCACTGGTGGAAATGGCCAAGAATTGATACTCATTCTCATGTCCCAGTATTTCTGCCCAATCCATGGCATTACCCATCTTACAGTTTTTCATGCTGTGAAACCTTCCCAGTCACTCTCATCACCTTTCTTTTCTCCCTGCCATGGGCATCTTCTTCATCTATTAATATTCCTCACCATTTGCACCCCGAAACTTTTGCTCTGCTCCTCCTAGATATCTCCTCCCCCAAAATACTGCCCACTTTCACCTCTCAAAAACTCCTCCCTTCTTCCTCTACTCTCCACAAATCCAATCTCACAGAAGTCTTTCATCAAAGGGTACCCAGCCCTCCTTCTCTGCTCAGCTCCCCTCAAACGTACACAGTGTGAAGGTATCCCCGAAAGACAACCTTCCTTCCACAAACTCCCCACCACAAGCAAATGACCATGCACACCTCCCTGCACAGGGTACCTCCCTAGACTGCTCTCTGCCTGTAAACAGGCCCTCTTCACCCAGGCTTCCTCCTACTTCCTGTCCCCAACCCTAGACCCCATAGACACCTCCCAAACAACCCTCCTAGGTATAATCTTCCCCATCCAGCACTGACACCACCCACTGCAGGTGCCTCACCCAAGCACCCCTGCCCCACAGGAACACCTAGGATGCCCCCCAGCACCCCTCCCTCACACACACCCCCAGACACTCCCCCAGTGGGGCACTCACCTGCCAAAACCTCTCAGTACAAAACCCCCCAGCATCCTCCCCATGCGCCCCTACAGACACCCCTCAGCACAGAAGTCCCCAGCATCCTCCTTATCACCCCCAACACCCCTCAGCACAGAGGCCCCCAGCACCCTCCCCA